GTGTCTGCGCGAGAGGTTAACTTCATCCCTTCTTGCGGGTACCTAAGTTAGAGAAAGTAGGACCAGATATTACCTCCACCTGTCTTTGGGACCTGCGTTAACCTTAGTGTGGTGTATTCTGCAGGAATAGGCTCGAATGCTACATCAGAATGCCAATGAGCAGAACTTTGTTTCTTTGGGATCGAGACTGAATAATCAATAGAACGCAGCTTGTTGTCTTGAGCCGCACTGATGGTGTTGATTTCTGGGTCGTTGGCTCCTTGTTCGAAGATTGGATGTATGGAAAGTCGGCTGGTCGGTGGCTTTCCAGTCAATTCACCGAGGCGTTGCATCAATTCCTTCTGTTTGGTATTAGTGAGCCCATCTTGCTGGCGGAAGAAGACAACTCCTCGCTCAGAAACTATCACAAGAAACCGTCAGTCATTGCATATGGTAATAGCCGTCTTCTTAGGCGCCTCTTAGAATTTTACGAACTGAGGATTGCGAGATCACGGAGCAGATCATCCGCATTTGGTGCCTTAATCCAATCTGCGAGCTTGGCTGTTGGAAACTCCGTCCCGATGATGGGTGTGACATCCTCTCTTTCGTATTGGTCAATGGCACCCGTTCGTCGAAGCGGAGCCTTCCATGTGGAATGGGCCGTTGTGGATGGGGTCACTGTGGCGCTTGCTATGGCGGGAGCCATCCTTGCTGGCTTTCCTTTGATTTCTTGAAGCAATCTACCTCAACAGGAAGATATAAATGCGCGTAGACGTAATCAGCCGGATGTTTTGGTAACACATGGATATGCCGGCCCAGTCATGTAGACTTGCATTCTATATACGTTATCATATCTCGGAGGGGATCGGTTCATTTCTGCTACTGCCTTTGGGCTTTCTTTCGATTGTAGTTTGCCTGCCCGGCGCTTTCTGAGCTGGAATAGTTTATTCGATCTTTCCATTCGAGACTACAATGGAGGCACTATTCTCTTCCATTAGGAAACACTAATATCGATACGAAGCTGACATGCATCCATCTAGGCTTTCAACCTTCGGCATTTTTCAAAAGCCGCCCCGTTTAGTAACCAATGAGTCTCGGCGCATTCCAACAAAGCTGATGTTATTATCCAGGATTGTCAACATTCGGCGGTTTTCCACATCCTCCCAAGAGCCAGGTGACTGTCGAGAGCCCACGTAAGCCCATTCCAAATGATCAGGCTGCTGTTATGATGCAGAGTACGGCCCAGCTGTCTAGCCAAGTCGTGAGGGCTTGGTCTTATTGAAATGCAGCTTCGTCGTTCACACATAGTGTGCACTTGGCAGGCAGATGCACCTTGACTCGCTTACCCGGCATGCAGTTGCAGGGCAGGAGAACGGACATCGAGTTCCGCGGAACCAGGGCCGCGCAAGCAGGGGGCTAAGCGAGGAGTTCCTGCGTTCCGGAAGATGAGAGAATTTCTCAAGTTCTCCATTGATATAGAGCTTTTATGGTTGAATTAGTACGCATAAGTCTGAATTGTGTGATTTATGAAGAACTTTAAGGGCTTCTATTACGTGGATGTTGCGACGATCAAAGGGGATTGAGCGAGGGTAAACAATCTATAATTGCTCCTGACGAATCTATAGAAATGGCCGCACTTTGATCATCTTCTTCACACTGTTTATCACCAGTGGCAGCTGGGTAAACGTGTCCCCCTTTTCATCTTGAGCATCAAGTCTCTCCTGCACCTGAACTGCCTGCAACATAGCTGGCGTGATCATTTCAGATCTTAGTCGACTCTGACCAGTGTCCTGTCCCTGAGGCAATCCTAGCGAGTTGCATAAACGATTCAGTATGTGCTCGCTAACCTGAACCACAATTGAGATCTCTAGTTCCATCCCAACATAAGGCTGAAAGGAGCCAAGCTTAAGCCCAGGAAACAATCGTGATTTGTCGTCGAGCATTGGATCCGCCAAGTTTGGGAATAAAAGGAAATCGTGAAGATCCGTGAAAAAGAGGACAAACAGCCGGGCTAGGCGAAGGTAGCATGAGATGGTATGTAGTGTTGTCGAGGTGTCCATTTGAATGCCACTGCCGGCCGAGATCGAAGACGATAGCTGACTGTTGCTGCTATTAGAGCCTGTACTTGTTGGTGTGGCTGAAACATCTATGAATGGCTGTGACAGCAAGTCCGAAAAGTCAGTTATTTCCAAAGGATCACCGAAGAACGGCGATCGCAAGTCCGGAACCGGTTCACCAGCTGAGTCCGGGGAAGAGCTGAACAAGTCACCCCCAATCACCGGTACCTGAATGAATTGGTCAACTAGTTCTGTGAGCTGTCGAGCTGTCTCCATAATCTCCTGGATTGGATAGTTGTGTAATAGCGTAAGTAGCCCCTGTTTATCCCTGTTAGTACAGCTCCTCATCCGTTTGAGCTGTCGAAGTTGATTGTACTGTGCAAGGCCTAGGTCGGTCAGCTTCCGGACGCAGTCAGCTGTGTTTTCGTCCGCGAGCGTGAATTCCTGTGCGATTTGCGGATTTTGTCTGTCGAGAAACGGTGTGTGTCTTCCATTGGGTATGTTCTCCATTGGGAATCCCTGCCCGTTATTGAGCATGATGTTCGCATCCTCATAAGGCTGTTTCGCACTGCTAATCAGAGGTGGCATCATATCAAGCTTAAATTGGGACCCGCTTAGATGGAGATCCTCAAACGCTCCGCTCTCGTCTGCTAGGATATCCATGCTCGACCCACGAGTGGATATATCTTGATAAGGCATTGGGCTGGGTGGGTGTGGGGATTTCGGAGATGGCCAGGCGCTCGCGTTATGCGAGCTACTCTGTGATTCTTTGCTCGGTGTGCTCACAGTTGTACCTGTCGTGGGCCTTGCTGCTATTCCTGTACCAGAATGTGACCTCGCCGGACGCCCCAGACGATTTGGTGGACTATAGACGCATTGAACAGCAGCACGGCGGCAACGTTCACATGTACTGCCGGGCTCTGTGGACTCTGGCCGTAAACACCGTAGCTTGTGTGCATGACACCTGTCACAAGCCATCCGCAGGCGAGTTGTTTCTGGAGGGTATGACGTCTGCATGGCCTTACGTTTCTGTGCCTGCACACCGCCAGCAGCGGCCTTTGAAGGCGGAACGTCGTCGTCCAACATGCCTTCGGATCAGTATATATCAGGAGTGCGGCAGCTCCTAGTAGTATATTGGATGTATTGATAGCGATTTCTTTCACCACGATAAGAAGGTGATCGCTAGAAAAGTGGAAGCTAGTGGTAGATGGGAGGGCCAACACCACATGGGTCCACTTTGCGCAGATAATGATTGATATATAAGGTGAGATTTCCCTTACAGTGTCTGTGAGCCGCTTTATATTCGTATTTCAAGTGCATAAAGAGCAGAATATACTATCGTGATGCTTCCTTGCAAATGCCAGAAGTAGAAGATGGTAGCGAAAGACCGGATGGCATAAGAAGCACAGTTCAGGGCTGTCAAGGGGAGGCCCAATGTCTCGGTGTTTCCTCCCTGAAAGCATAAACAAGCATGGCTGTATTTCTGGCTGAACCGTGGACTGTGTGATGCCATGCCATGCTTCCGCGGAGAGTCAAATCATCCCTGTCCCTGCGAAAGATGCTGGCAGGACGGGATGCCATGTAGTAGTTATGTACATATAGTAATCGTGATAATTCCCTGTTCGATGACAGGGTCCTCTGCAGTCGAGTTCTCGAGGAGCCAGACAGACGTTTGTTCTTTTCTCAATTTCACTGCGAGAATAAATAGTCAGCTAGCCATTTCTTTAGCAGCGCCGTTTGGTGGTCTAAGGCCTTTTCAGCATTTGCTATGTTGCTTCAGTCGACTTAGCTCTCATTTTCCCCCATACACTCCAGCAACGACCTGCACTACTTGATCTCGATCCTCCTCATCCTGCTCCCGCTCCTCCTCCTGGACTTCCCCCCTCTTCTCTCTTTTCCCCTTTCTTCTCACTTTCGTATGCGGTGGGGCGGGCTGAAATGCATGAGCAGCCAGCTTCTTCTGGATTTTCGCAGCAAGCACAGGTGTAAGCAGTATCGTGCAGGGAACCGAGCCTCTCAGGTTGTCTTAAAATATAGGCTCGGATATCGTGCGGAATCCTAGCAGTGGTTCGTATACTTGGCGCTTGACAGTCGGCCGCAGTTACACCGGGGGCAGAGCCAATTTAATATAACACGAAGGGGCGATAACTCCACGTATCGAAGCAACCAATATGGGGACCAGGTTTCCAGATTTATGCAGCATCGAAATAGCCATTCCACGTTGAAAATGCCAGTGATTGGGGGTTTTCCCTATAACTCCCCGGAGCTAATGCTCAGTTGACGCGTGGGATGCTCCCGTACGGTGCCCCTGTTCAAATTTGCAGCCTTGCCCCTGTGCATAAGATCTGAGGGTATGGCGACGATTCTTCGGAAACAGAGGCTGGATGCCTCATGGCAAGGATAGGAATTCGATCCGCAGTGAATTTTTCCCTTTTCGACACCCGTGAACTCTTACTTAGCTAGCGTCTGTGGCACGTCGAGGTAAGCTTATTGAAGTTATGGGGAAATTCTGGACACGAGTTTACTCTGTACGACTGGATAAGCATCCAGACCATTACTTGGGAGTAGCAAAGGCGATTGATTGGGCGTTGAGTCCTGCTCCAAGCAGCGATTGTGTATATAAATAGGAAGATATGATGGTCCGCACACATGGTGAAATTCCAATATATGGAGCGGCGTCGGCGGTATAAAATGGCGTGCAATGCGTTCATCGGGAGGAAAGGACATGCCAAGCGGTTAACGCTGCTCGGATATCGTGCAAAGAAGGTCACAGTGACGCCCAGGATATGCCGGAGCGGAAACAGAAAAGTAATCAGCAGAGAGGAATATAGCTTGATCAGAAAAGCTTTGAAGCGTGATGGCGATGTAGCTGCGACGGCTGATTTTCAGCTGATATCTTTTCAAGACATGGCTGGAAACTCATGAGGATTTATTAAACTAACTAGGGGTTAATCGGGCTCCCAATCATGTAGGTTTCTCGGTCACCACTGTGACTTGAAAACTGTTTGGCATATAGTTATCTGAGAATTCCAGAACCTTGCCTTGAGTAACCCCCCAAAAAAATCCTGGGGCAGAACTCCAACTGGCCATGCTCAAGATATCAATCCTCGTGAAAAGAGCTAAATCCATCATATTGTCGTCATCACTCGGAAACTTATATGCCTGGCAAAAGCCTTGCATGAAAGCCTCAACACGAGAGGATACTGGATCCGTTCTATGCAGCGTCAGCATTAGGCCCAGAATATATATTCATTACGAGAACTTACAAGCCATCACCATCGTGAGTAAAGACATCCCATATAATCACAGCTGGACGAGAAATGTCCGCCACTACCTGCTTGACAGGGGCATTGGGATACAACGAAACCACCACAGTCGTATCATCAACCTGAAGGAAGCCTTCCGGATCCTCAACAATGGTAATTCCAGCCTCTCCTAAGACCTTTGAGTCGACGCTAGTGTATATAGGATCCTGTGCAAGGCATTGGACCTCGTGGCATCCTTTTCGCGTTTTTAGGGTATCTTGTAGCGTGCATAGCATCGCATGTTGATACAAGGACGTTTCTCTCAACTTTGCAGCCCGGTAGGCACCCGAAGGGCCATTTCTGTCACCAGAAATTGAGCCGCATGCAAATGCAACAATTTTATTGACTATGAGATCCTGGGGCAGCTTAATATCCTTCAGCGCTGTTCGGAGCTGTAGACAGGTATCACTGCATTCCCATCTTCGTTGAATATCCATAAACGACTTCTTCACGGAATCATAGTCCTTCGTCGGCTTGATATTGATGAATTCCTTGGTGACGTCGTGCCGTAAAAAGACAGGATGCCGGATCCCCATGGTGCAATACCCCATATCAATGCCATATCGACACGCCAAAATGGCTGCTAGAGACCTATAGTATACGGAGGGCCTCATTCTTTTTAAATTTTTATTTTAGATTCAACGTCACTTTGTTCATTGAGAAGGGGAGATAAAACGTACGCAACGTATTCTGAGTTGATTCCCGATAGCACAAGCTCGCCGGTCTTTACGTCAAATTCCACAGTCACCCCGTCGATACCCTTTATCGACACCTTTTGGCCGGCTTGTAAATCACTTGTCAACTGCTTCTGGATTTCTCGAAGAGCGTTTTTAGTAAACAGAGGAACCCCGTCATCATATGCCTTCTTGACAAAGGACTTGGCTTCATTCCTTTCAACCTGGGGATCCTTTCCCCAGTCGATTTCGTTGCCGGGTCTAATGCGTCGACAACCAGCTATGAAATAGTCCATGTAGGAGGGTGAGGGATACCCCTGCTGATCAGAGGAAGAATCACCATCCTCCATGGTAAGAGTTGGTAATAGTAAGGGAAGAGAAATCAGGACTGTATACTGCTTCGAGTTGTGTGGTATCCGGCTGGCTTGAAAGCAAAGGGCTGCTTGGGCGTATCTTGACCAGGATTTCACCAGGAAACAACTGCCATTGGCTTCTCGAAGAGCTAACTAGGCCGACATTTGTACTCAACGTAGCATGATTCTGCATGTTATTCCAGAGAAGACGCCATATTGACCACTGCTCAGTGCTCACTTTTCCTGTCACTGTTGATGGCTGCAGCCTTCAATGTCTATCTCTCTCTCTCTCTCTCGCCTTCCAGGCACCTTCTGAGCCGTATGAATATCGATCAGCCACTTAGTTATACGACGATGTTCCTCCGCGTAGTTAGCTAGTTCCAGGGGCATTCCTCCCGTCTCCTATGCGCCCTCCACGGCGGTCTCCTGGTCAACATTCAAGACCATTGATGTGGCTCATCTTGGCCTGGTCAGCGCCACTGGCATCCCTCCTCTCTGCCATGAGTCACTCTGCGTCTTTCATCGTCCCTTTCCACCCTGTTTAATTCGCCTTCGTCGTCTTGTCATCGTCTTCCGTCTCTGACTTTTTCGTGAAGATGAGTATTTTTGACTCATAGGGCTGTAATTACGCAACAAATACCAACATGTGATGTCATCTGCCACCCAAATAGCGTATTTATCGTAATACACCCGTCACACACACTCTCCACCAGCAAAATTAACAAGCAACTTCGGCTTTTTTCATCGATCTTCGTCTTCTTCTTTTGCTGCGAATTCAACAACCTATTTATTGTCGCTTCTTCTCCCCTGGCCCGTCTGTTTTTCTCCAGAATATCTTTAGAGTATTCTGACAAGAGAAGCCGGTTCAACCAGTTAGCTGTCTGCTGGCTTAGAAGACACACGCTTGGCCACACCCCGCCTGCTTTCTTTTTCCCCTCCATCGAATATCATACATAGCAGCAAACACATCCCCGGAAGAGCTCTGTTGAACGTCAAATATCAAAAGATCTTCGATAGCAAGTCGATACCTTCCTCCGCGACTATTTCTTTACCCACAGTCACCGGATCTCAGCTTAATCAACACATCATGGCTGTTCGAGCGCAATTTGAGAACTCAAACGAGTCAGTTTGTTTCTTTCCATTTTTTTGTGTATTCCTTCTGTGGACCACGATACTAACTGTAGTGTATTATGATAGTGTGGGCGTGTTTGCGACATTGACGAATTCCTATGCCATAGTTGCTATTGGAGGATCAGAGAACTTTTATAGCATATTCGAATCTGAGTTGCAGGATGTCATACCTATCTGCCATGCCTCGATAGCAGGAACAAGGATCGTGGGCCGTTTGACTGCTGGGTAAGCCAGACAAAATCCCAACGCAGGTTATAAACAGGGCTAACAGTACTAACCGTGACTTAGAAACCGAAAGGGCCTTCTAGTGCCTACCACAACCACAGACCAGGAACTACAACACCTACGTAACTCGATTCCGGACAGTGTCAAGGTCCAGAGAACAGAAGAGAGGCTTTCCGCCTTGGGGAACGTTATATGTTGTAACGACCATGTTGCTCTTGTACACCCTGATTTAGAGCGTGAAACAGAAGAAATGTGAGATTATCCGTTGGAAGTTTACGTTTTAGACACCACTGACCATTGTTTCCTTCGTTGTTATAGAATAGCAGATGTCCTCGGAGTAGAAGTATTCCGTCAGACTATTGCTGATAATGTCCTAACGGGCTCTTACATGGCTTTGTCAAATCAGGGCGGTATTGTCCATCCTAAGACATCGATACAAGACCAAGACGAACTCTCCTCCCTCCTACAAGTACCGCTTGTTGCCGGCAGTGTTAACCGCGGTTCCGCCGTCGTTGGTGCCGGCATGGTTGTTAACGACTGGCTAGCTATTACTGGACTAGATACTACCGCTACCGAACTCAGTGTTGTGGAAGGTGTGTTCAAACTCGGCGAAGGTGCAAGCGGTGCTGGGACAGCCACCAAGGAGACCATCGTGGAGAGTTTCTACTGATTTCGACTGCCACAATTTTACCCTCTACCTTCTCGTCCTACCTTTCAAGGAACAAAGCTGGCCACTGCCGGACTCGAAGCAAGGGTTTGGCCTGGCGGAGGTTTTGTTTGATCAATGACATTTATTATTAACCAAACTTGCTGCAGTTTCCTGTAAGCGAGGCCTAACAACTATAATGAATACCAAAGACATAAATAAAGCAAATCCCCCCAAAAGGGGTGAATACCACCAGATCTTCTGTGCATGTTGTGAAATTTCATAATTTTTCTTTTCTTTTTCTTTTTTTTTTTTTTTT